ATGCTTGTAGAAACAGTTTCTTCACGATGGTCTATTGTTGGTTGCTCAACGCATGACGACTCGATATTCCCATTTCCCAAATAACTAGACAGACAAATGATGCCCTGGACAAATTCAAAAAGTCAAGGGAATCACATTCCAATTGAAACAAACACTTCGGACGGCGTTAACCATCTGGTTAGCTTTTTGGTTGTTTAGTATAATTGACATTTTCAAACTTTATGTTTATCTAACGTTTTTTTTTTGCATGTAAATACTTTTAAATTAAGTAGAACTCCCATTGCAGAGATTTTTGGTTAACGTCCTCTGACGATAGCGAATGTAATGTTTCTGAATCAAATTCTAATAACAGGGTTTGGTCAGATTCTGAAATGAAATATGCTATTCCAAATACAAAGAAATCAAAATACAAGATTCGAAGATTTATTTTAGAAACAACCTCGGGGAACGACTCGGATTCATCATGTGGATCAAGTACCATTACAGACGATTCGTGTACAATAACTGGAGACACGAGTCAAGACGAATGTGGGGTATTTGAAGATTGGCCTATTTTGATACAAGAATTATCCCCTAGCACGGATGACAGCACATCAGAAAATGTCAAGAAAAAACGACGGAAGCTCGTGAATCATTTAGTAGCATGCCGTGTTTGTGGTGGACCAGAATTAATTTGTAATTTTATCTGCGTTTGTGTCGCGTGCAATGAAGGCTATCACCAAAAATGCCATGATCCTCAAATAAGTCATTTCAAAAGCGGTGAAAAATGGCGTTGCATAGATTGTCAAAATGCGCTTCGAAGTAAACCATCGTTGATATTTAAGAAATCTGTTAACAGGGTAAGGGGAGATACAATGTCGACTACCCACGTAATCAAAGGAAATGGGAATATCGAGTCGTCATGCGTTGAGCAACCAACAATAGACCATCGTGAAGAAACTGTTTCTACAAGCATGTCGACTAAAATCAATGGAAAACATCATTACGACATCAATTCTAGTAATGACGATGATTCTATCAAGAAGCAAAAAACCGATTTTTACCAAAGAACTGCTAATAAATGCTTAAACGGATATAATCATACCGTAAAAAAAGATCGAAAAGAGACCGATGGCAAGGGAATTGATAAAGATACATCACCATATTCTCGCGCAAAAACAAACACTTCTCAAAAAAAAAGGAATAGGTCTTTATTGCCATTGATTCTACCTCCATCTGAAAAGAGACATTCAACTACAACGGAACTCCGTAGATTATTTGACAACTGCCCAATGTCAATTGTGAATTTTGATGAAGTTTTTAATCCGGAGGAATGGGGTAAATGCGAAGAAGCAGTGCCTTCAGGTAGAAATATTGGATCTTCTGAGAGTTCATTATCGAACAAATCTCTTATCTCTTTAAGGAAGAAAAATGTTGTATCAGACAAAGGGGCTGTAATTTTGAATAAAAGTACTACTACATCTGGCAGAAGTTCGATTTCAAGCAAGAGCGTAACCGTCCCATCAAATACCAAAGCAGTCACCAAAAGTTTCGAAGCTTTAACTCCAAAAAATAGCATATCTGCTAGTAAATCTGTTGGAATTACCGAGAATGATGCAAATTTTAATATTACATCATTATTACCTTTGAATCTTATTCCTTGCTTGAATTTTGATGCATTGGCGTTTAGAGAGGGTACTATAGATATCAAACGAGGTCAGGTGAAGCGTGGAAGGGTGTACCCCGTATTGAGATGATTTCAATTATTTACTGCGAAAGCTTATAATTGCAATGTGCAAATATAAGATGGTATTAAAACATGTAGATAAATATGAACTTTTTAACCAGTTTAGAAACAGATAGATCAATGTGAAGATATGACTCAGTGA